GCCAAATCGACTACTCAGTGATTTATTATCGGTAAGTTGTTTGAAGGCGGCATGGAACACCGGTCTTGCTGGTTTGATGGTTGATGGAGAGCCGTTAATGCTGGTAACGGATATAAGCTCTGCTTGTTCCAGGGCTTGAATCACACTCTCTCCACCGCTCTTGAACAGCGGGTTAAGAAGAATCTGATTGTATCTCAGATTTTCTGTACCAGTCTCCCCCAGTTTTTTTATGAGATACCAGGCTTGTTCTGCGGTCCAGGGGTGACTACCCTTGGCCGGGAGGTCAAGAATAAACATTTTTAATATCTCAGCAGAAGACTCATCAATGATCCGTTGTACAGCATCTGTGGTCCCAGTTTAGCAAGTGTAATAATAATGAATCGCAAATGTCGGAAGAAGTCACAAACCTTTTGGCATTGCACCAGCCTTAATCATGCGAGCCAGGAATTCGAGATCCGTGAGGCGTCCGCCCAGTACTTGGATAGAAGCGTCAAGCTGTTCCATATGTTTAATTATCTTACCACTGCCTTCTTTCTCTCCTTCGGTGTCTGCTCGAATGTGCTCAAGGACGAAACGTTTCGCAACGTCTTCAGAGCAGTCTCGCAATGATAATTGATGGAAGACAGTATTTGGAAGAGCTTCGCTCAGTGGTTTGGAAGCTGAAACATCTGCAGTTAAAAATATTACACGAGCAACGTTGGATGCCGTTACGGCTGCAGCCCAGTGGGCCAGTTTATCATAGATCATTGGCTTTTCGGTTTTCTTATGTAAGAAATTATCGATGACAACAATTGGGCGGCATTCAGGATGAGCTTCGAGATACTCTTCGTTGTTCAAATTGACGTCTTTGTCGTCCTGTCTTCTCGTTTCAAGGGCCACTTGCTTCAAAGCATTGGTGGTGTTTTGCAAAATCTTCCCGAGTTGAGCATCAAGTGTTTCCGAAAAGCCAGCTTTTGCACCAGTAGTTCCTTGTATGGCCACGTCTATCACGCTGCTGACACTGTTCATCCAGGAAAACACAGGTCGATAGCCAACTTCGGCGGCAGCAGCGCTGATAGTAACGCTATCACCATTAGCATCTTGAATGGGCTTGCAATCTATGACCAATTTGTATTTGCGATCCTTCAAAACTTCATCCAAAATGAGCTCCTTCTTTCCTGTGCCACGTGGTCCCTGAATAATAATGAAGGTACTAGCAGCTTCGAGCAACCAGCTTTTGATGAGTTCGATATCACTTTTCCGATCTTCCCATACTGCTTTGAGTCCTCCAGACTCTGCATGCTGGCGTCGAAATGAAATGATATCAGTCGCCTTGCTAGCTTGTCGTTGCACCCATTGCCAGATCATATTGTCATCCAGATGGAGAGGTCGTTTGATTCGAATTTTAATGCAAAACGTTCGAATGGGGTCGAATATGATAACTGTAATAGTAGCTAAAAGGGCCGCAAGAATGGGAATTACAATCCTGGGGTGGTTGAATAGCCAATCCCGTATCCACTTCCCCTTTACTTTTCCTTCATAGGTTATCTTAAGCAGAGTTCCTGACTTTCCTCCTCCTTCAGCCTCTGAGACTTTATATCCGTGTAGACAATTCTTAGCTGTTATCGCATATCGAAGATTTTGAAAATCGATGAATGCGTAGCGCGGCAAAACCTGGGAATTCGACGGTTGGACCACGATATCCCTTAATTTTCCGTACCGTCTAGCCAACGAATAAAGTGTTTCCTGGGTCAATTCTGCCGCAGACGCTTCAGGAAATGTCGGAAGAAATTCAACTTTGAGTCTCCAGCTAGGAATACGATAAAGGTCCTCTATCCACGGTCGACCTCGCACCAACACAGCCCGAGTAGCTCCAAACGGGTTAAACCATGGTCTGATAGGGTTCTTTTTTAGGTGCTCTTTCAGTCGACGCTCCAGTTCAGTGGCGCTAACGCCAGGCTCACGGGTAAATTTAACAAAAGCACCACCCTCGTCAAAGCGAGAAATAATCTCTGTAGTTTCTATTCGTAACTCAGGTGGTAATGCTCTCTCGATTACTGACTCGGGATTCGCGACAGCGAAATCAGGTCTGTTTATCCACCTCTTAATGAGACTAGAAACAGAAGAATCTGAACTGGCAAAAGAAAATGGACGTAGCCATTTCAGCTTGAGGGGAAATAAGTCTGAGGCGATGATATATCAGTCTCTGAGATGTGGTTCATATCCCTATGGCGGATAGATATATACATACTGTCAACATAGACTATGGATTCATTTGGGCCTGCTTGAATATGTCCGGATTCATCTCCTCGGGAATGCACAGGGACATGATATAAATCAGTGCTTAACAGCCTGGACAGCCTGATAGTCGTAGGAAGTCGGCCAACCCCCCTCAGACACGTCCTCCCCAAAGCACCTATCATAGTGTAGACAAACAGAGATTTGCTGGATACAATAGCTCATTGTTGTTACATTCACCACCATCCTTTACGATTTATGTATCAAGGCTGTCTTTCTTGCGCAGCCTTTTTTTCCAAGGCTTGTTGTTGAGTAACTAACTATTAGTTTGGACGTCTGCAGTAACTATGACGTAATGGGCTGAGTCATCTAAGGGGTCTAAGAATATCACATGACCTCAATTCTATTCCTTTCGTTAGATCAATCGAAGCGAATAACCTCGAGGCTGAACCGCAACTTGAATATCAGATTTGATATTCCCTGAAAGCCCAAGTATTCTATTCAATCCGATATCGATAGGGGATTGCCCATATTTGCTCACCCATAAATCCTCATACTTGGCGCATAGAATCGATTTGGTTGGGCTGATATTCCTAACACCGAAAAATTAATTGTCTGAAGCTCAGATATACCGATTCCGCATACCCCCTCATAGCAAAAGCTCGTGCAGCCCTTGATCAGCTCATAATTTGGACAATCGCATTCCTAGCAGACAATGGGTTGGTGGTGGAACACCTCTTTGAATCCGGAGAAACTCCCGGCACATACTCTTTCTACCCAAACTTCTCCTTCACAAACTCCTTCGCTTGCCCCGACGGAGAACTCTAAGCTCACTCCTTCTGCTCGCCTTAAACCCTCCAGTCGCGATGAACCCGCCGAAGCAGAGCTCCAATCTTTCTTAAGGGGCTTCGAAGATGTGAATAATAATCCACGATCCTCACATTCGCCGCCATCATCATCATCATCATCATCAACAACACTTCCCCCCACCAACCTATCCTCAACAAATACACCTTCTACTCTCTCGCCTTCTTCCACCTCTAATGCAGAAACATCCGAAACACCTTCAAACATATCCCCTGAATTTCTCTATCCAACAACCATGTCCTGCCGATCTGCGTTCGATTACGCTTTCTTCTGCCAGTCGTTTGGTGGTCAGTGGGTCAACGTATACCGGTACGGCGAGCTGCGCTCTTGTAGCGAGCACTGGTCTGATTTCTGGTTTTGCATGCGTACCCGCTCGTACCCTGATGAGGAGAAAGCAAAAATGATAGCTGACCGCTACCGAAAGAAAGCTGTCAAGTATAAGACTGGCCCCAGTAGCGAGGATGTATGGGATGTCAGGACGGAGCCCGTGAGGGATGCATTTCAAGGGGACCTGAGAGCGGTGGAACAGGAAATGATGAAAGCTGCTATGGAAAGGGAGAAGGCTGCAAAGGAGCTTTGAGAATGTTTTATATTGGTGTGGTTCGCATGATGGGATTTAAGTTTTTCTAGACAGAATGATCGAGATTTTATGTTGATGGATGGTGTGCTGTATAATATTTATTTTTGATCTATTTATATTTCCCTTTTGCTTTTTCCGAGAACGTAATAGAACCCTTCACAGTATACCCATCGGTGTCAGGAGACTAGTTTAGCAGCTTGTGAATCTTTGCACCCGTTATAATCTTCAAATTTAGGGCATAGCTTTGCCTCTCCTCGCTTTCCTGTCTCCCGGGAAGCCTAGCAGGATTTTGGGCTCATGTTCTGTCTATATGAACGCCCAATATCAAGGCTTACGTTCTGGATTGGTGTCAACTACTGAGTTCGAACCCTTAAAACTGAGTGCCAACTCTAGAAACAGTATAGAAGGGAACTCTTTAACATCGGACTATGCGCTTGCTGGGAAAAAGAGCTGATCACAAACAAATATTAACGAAATGAAATAAATATAGACCTTTAGCGCTGCCTAACAATAGTTGCCTGGAACAAAGAATTATAAAATCAATAACTTTTAAAATTGGAAGCTGAAAGCAATGTTGTAAATGACATAAAGAGATAGAATAACGTGAAAGAGATTGAAATAAAGCCATGCGGAATCCAAAGCTAACCATCCACAGCTACCAGTAGATCCTGTTATTTATTAACAAAACCATGGTGCCATGAAAGAGCCAGCCAGTCCCCTGTGTGTACAATAAAATAAAACGAAACCCCACAGTCTCTGAAACTAAACGTTATCCAAGGGCATGCGCCGATAAATGGTTTGGTAAGACAATTCGCCTCCGGCTCTGAATCGATGCTTTGCAGAAATTCCCGAACGAAAACTTCCAGGGTTGAATAGACTCAAAAACCGCTACAAAAAGGGACACATCAAAAGAAAATCTGAAAAAGAGAAATGTGGATTCAAAGATGCAAAACAAAATATGAAAGTTATGACACAAGCAAAATTCCGTCCACGACCTGTAAAAGACGTTGAACGATTGAATTGAGGTCACAAATGCCACCAGAAGGAAGAAAATTCAAAACGAAATAACGCAGTAATGGGATACAAATGCTCATGATAAAAAAACATGGAAAGGTGGCGGGTATATTCGGCATTTCAATAAATAGCAAAAAAATAAAATGTAAAATAAAATAAATAAAAAGAAATAAAGTCGCGTCCGCTCATAGAGAAGATAAAATGTACATTTGGTGGGAGACTTGACGGCTCGAGAGCATCTAAAACGCCATTAAAGACCCCGACAAGGAGGATAAGGAAGTTAGATAAACCCAGAGAGTGTAGCTCACTACTGACCCCAGCTCTACGCGCCGACGGCCTGCGCCTGCACAGCAGGGACAGCGTCAATTGCAGGGCGGCGAACAATTCCCCCAGTTACAGGAAGCTGAGAACTCGTACCGATAAGGTATGAGTCGACTTCACGGGCAGCTTGACGGCCCTCATTAATACCCCTGAAAATATGTGAGCTAAAAACCCTCCTTTGAAAAAAATAGAAAATGGAATGAAGACGTACCAGACGATCAGAGACTGTCCACGTCTACAATCACCAGCTGCGAAAACGCCTGGGACATTAGTCGAATATTGACCGGGAGGCGTCTTGACGTTCTTCCGAGCATCCTTCTCGATCCCATCTCCAAGAAGCCTATCCTCAGGTCCCAAAAAGCCCATGGAGAGCAGAACGAGGTCTGCTGGGAAGAACTGCTCGCTCCCCTCCACCGTCTTCATGTCCCAGCCACCAGAGGCACTCTTAGTCCACTCGACCCGGGTGGTGTTGATTCCTTTAACAACACCGTTCTCACCGACAAATTCCTTCGACATCACACAATATTCACGAGGATCTTTTCCCATATGAGTCTTCACCTCAGTGTGACCGTAGTCGACGCGGTAGATACGTGGCCATTGGGGCCATGGGTTGTCACGAGCCCTCTCTGGAGGAGGCTGAGGTAGCAATTCGAAGTTGGTCACTGACTTGGCACCGTGTCGGACTGAGGTACCAATACAATCATTACCTGTATCACCGCCGCCAATGACAATGACGTGTTTATCTTTGGCAGAGATGTATTGACCATCAGATAACTCGGAGTCCAGCAGGGATTTGGTGTTCCGGTGAAGGAATTCCATAGCTAAATGAATGCCGCCAAGCTCACGGCCGGGTATCTTCAAGTCTCTTGCAACTGTAGCTCCAGTGGCTATCACGACAGCATCGTTCCTGGCACGTATTTCCTGCAGAGAAATATCCTCCCCTGGTCCTACAGCTGTGCTGGCAACAAATTTGACGCCTTCATCCGCCATAAAATCAACGCGCCTCTGAACGATCTTCTTGTCGAGTTTCATATTTGGAATACCATACATCAGCAAGCCGCCAATGCGATCGGCACGTTCATAAACGGTGACGCTGTGCCCTACGTGGTTGAGCTGATCCGCTGCAGCAAGTCCGGCGGGGCCTGAGCCTATAATTGCAACGGTCTTGCCAGAACGACTTGGTGGAGGAGTGGGAATTATCCAACCCATCTCAAAACCTCTGTCAATGATTGCACACTCGATACTCTTGATACCAACAGGGTCCTCATTAATTCCAAGAACGCAGGCACCCTCGCAAGGAGCTGGGCACACACGTCCTGTGAACTCAGGGAAGTTATTTGTCATAAGCAATCGGTTAAGAGCATCCCGCCACTGATTCTGAAAGACAAGTTCATTCCATTTGGGGATAATGTTTGAAATGGGACATCCAGTATCAGATTGGCAGAAAGGAACACCACAATCCATGCAACGAGCAGACTGGTACTTCAATTCATCTTCAGTCAGTCGTGTGCTCAGCTCAGCCCAGTCACGAGTTCGAGTTTTTGCGTTGCGATATTTTTCGCTACGCCGCTGGTACTTCATGAAGCCTTTGGTCTTGTCGAGGATCAGGGCATTTCGCTTTTTCTCTGTCTTCCAGTCGCTGATACTGTCTTCAATATCCAGAATATCACTTTTCTTGGGCTCGTCACGATGCTCATGGACTTTCTGGGAGGTTTTCTTTGCAGGATTTCCGGACGATATGGGAAGACTGAATTCAGCCTTCTTGGAAGCGGCAGTTTTGGCTGCTTCGTCCTCCAATACTCGCTTATAATCGGTGGGCAAGACCTTGACGAAATGGGGAAGTGCTCTAGTGAAATCAAGAAGGATACGAGCAGCCAGTTCTGAGCCCGTATAGTGGTGGTGATCCTCAATGAGGCCTCGTAGGAAGGCAACCTCTGTTGGGTCTTCAACCCCAGAAACTTCCACCATTTCCGTGTTGATCTTAGAATGGAAATCCTGATTCACATCGAGGACATAGGCGATACCACCAGACATTCCCGCTGCGAAGTTTCGACCAGTGGACCCAAGAATAAGGACACGTCCTCCAGTCATGTACTCACAACCGTGATCACCGACTCCTTCTACTACTGCAGTAGCACCGGAGTTACGCACAGCAAATCGCTCAGCTGCTACACCACGGAAATAGCAGTGACCAAGTGTGGCACCGTATAGGCAAACGTTTCCGACAATAATGTTTTCCTCGGCCTTGAAAACAGCGCTGCGTGGTGGGTAAACGATCAAACGGCCTCCGGACAATCCTTTACCAACATAATCATTGGCATCGCCCTCCAGCTCCAGGGTCACACCAGGCGCAAGGAATGCACCAAAGGACTGACCAGCGGATCCTTTGATGTTTGCATGGATTGTGTCTTGAGGGAGACCAGCCTCTCCGTACCGACGACTAATCTGGTATGAAAGAGTAGCACCCAACGCGCGGTCAGTGTTAACAATATCGCACTCAATGCGACATGGCAAGCCCTTTTCTAGAGCCAGTTCAGACTCAGCAATGAGCTTATTATCCAGACGAACATGGAGGCGGTGGTCTTGCTTGCGAACGTTGTAGGTCGCTACGCCAGGTCGAAGAGAATGGGCGGGGGTGAGAATGAGAGAGAGGTCAATATTCTCCATTTTGGATGAGGGGAGATCATCTCGCATTTTCAACAGGTCAGCTCGACCCACCATCTCGTTGATAGTTCGGATGCCTAATTTGGCCATGATCGCTCGTAGTTCGTTCGCGATGTAGTAGAAGAAGTTGATAACATGCTCAGGGGTACCCTGAAACTTCTGCCGGAGGACAGGATCCTGAGTTGCAATTCCAACAGGGCAAGTACTATATTGATAAAGAGGGTTAGCCATGAAAATATTCCAACTGTTGAAACAAAATAAGAACATCTTGAATCTCGCACTACTTCTATGACGGGTTGTTCTGGAAAAAGTAACCCAAGCAAGGATAAAATAGGGGGAGAGCAGGGAAATTCTTACTTAAGATGGCATTTCCTCATCATAATACAGCCCATGGCAATGAGAGGAGTTGTTGCGAAACCCCATTCCTCTGCTCCCAGTAAACAAGCTATAGCCACATCCCTGCCGGTTCGAAGTTGACCATCAGTCTGAACGATAACACGGCCACGAAGATCATTAAGAACTAGCGTCTGGTGAGTCTCTGCTAGACCTAGTTCCCACGGAAGCCCAGCGTATTTTATTCCGGTCCATCGAGAAGCTCCAGTGCCTCCATCGTGACCTGAGATCAAAATATGATCCGCCTTGGCCTTAGCTACTCCTGACGCAACAATACCGACGCCAACTTCAGAAACAAGCTTGACGGAAACACGAGATCGTGGGTTTGAACATTTCAGATCATAGATGAGCTGTTTCAGATCTTCAATTGAGTAAATATCGTGATGCGGTGGTGGCGAAATGAGGCCGACGCCAGGAGTGGAGTGGCGCGTCTTGCCAATCTCGGCAGATACTTTGTGACCAGGAAGCTCTCCTCCCTCACCAGGCTTGGCTCCCTGAGCCATTTTGATTTGAAGCTCATCAGCATCCGCAAGATAATTCGATGTGACACCGAATCGACCAGAAGCAATCTGCTTGATGGCAGATCTCATGGTGTCGCCATTCTCCATAAGCTTGCTACGTGCTGCATCTTCACCGCCCTCACCAGTATTGGACTTTCCTCCGAGTCTGTTCATCGCAATAGCAAGAGTGGAGTGAGACTCCATTGAAATGGAGCCATAAGACATAGCACCGGTCACGAAACGGCGAACAATCTCAGTCCAAGGCTCTACTTGATCGATTGGGACAGGAATACGTTGTTCGAAATCAAAATCAAGTAATCCACGGAGTGTACAATTCTTGATTTGCTCATGTTCCGAGCGGGCATATGCTTCATATGATTTGTCATTCTTGGTTCGCACGGCATCCTGGATGTTGGCAATGCTAACAGGATCATTGATATGAGGTTCGCCGCCATCGCGCCAGTGATATTCACCTGATTCCGTCAAGCCGGGGATCTCCGTGATGTGTCGCGATGGGAAACCCTTCTCGTGGAAGGCGAATGCATCCTCCGCGATCTGCTCAAACGTCATACCTCTTATCCTACTAGCGGTACCAGCAAAACAGCGGTCAATTACGCTGTCGTCAATTCCTAGGGCTTCAAATATCTGAGCGCCCTTATAACTTTGAAGAGTCGAGATGCCCATTTTGCTCATTACTTTGAGGATACCACCATCAACCGAGGCCTTGTAGTTTTCGATAATTTTCTCGTCAGAGAGTTTTTTGCGGAATAAGTTTTCACGGTTCATCTTCAGGATACATTCCAGAGCTAGGTAAGGGCAGATACCATCAGCACCATAACCGAGCAGGACGCACATGTGGTGGACTTCGCGAGCCTCTGCAGTTTCGACGATGATGGCCGCCAGCGATCGCCACTTGTTGCGAACGAGATGATGGTGAACAAGACCAGTGGCAAGTAGAGAAGAGACGGGTACTCGATTGGCGGAGGTGGCCCTATCAGAAAGGATAAGAACCTTATCGCCATTCTCGATACCCTCAGTTGCAGCGTTGCAAATATCATCCAGAGCATCTAAATAACCTTCAACTCCCTTTTCTTTCTCAAACGTAATATCGATTGTTTTAACAGGCCAGTCCTGGTGAATAACCGTCATATTTTTGATCGCGTTGAACTCGCTTAGGGACAGAATCGGAGATTTAAGGAGTAGACGATGGCACTGTGAAGAATCCATCTCGAGGAGATTCCCTTGTGGGCCAACGTAACATTCTAGAGACATGACAATTGCTTCCCGGATGGGATCAATTGGGGGATTGGTAACCTGCGCGAAAAGCTGACGGAAATATTCATATAGAAGTCGAGGTTGCTGGGCTAGGCATGCAAGAGGGGCATCGTTACCCATAGATCCGAGAGCTTCCTTCGAATCCGCAGCCATGGGTCCCAAAATGAGACTTACTTGCTCATAGGAATAGCCAAATGCCTTGAGTCGCACATCACCCTGGACTGTCGCATCATCCAAGGTGTAAGACAGGTTAAGTTTCTGCTCCTCCAGGCTCTTTTGGATCCTTGGAAGTCGGATTAATTGGCTATCGACCCATGATCTGAAATCCTGGCGACTAGCGACAGTAGATTTCAACTCCGTGTCGTCAATGATCCTTCCAGCGATGGTGTCGACCAGCAGCATTTTTCCAGGCTGGAGACGCCCTTTTTCAATGATGCGCTCAGGCTCAAATGGAATTGTGCCAACTTCGGATGCGCAAATGATACGATCGTCGTCCGTGATATAGTATCGGCAAGGTCGCAGGCCATTGCGATCCAAGTTAGCACCACAGTAACGTCCGTCGGAGAATGTGAAGAGCGCGGGGCCATCCCATGGCTCCATCTGGCAAGCTGCCCACTCGTAGAAAGCAGCCTTGGCAGGGTCCATGGCAGCGTTGTCTTGCCACGCCTCGGGAACCATCAACATGACAGCTTCTGGCAAAGACAGAACTCCATTGATAGTGAGCAATTCAAGCACGTTGTCAAAGGCGGCAGAGTCGGAGCCACCATCCTCAACTATCGGGTAGAGGTAGTCTAGGTCATCCCCAAAAATATGAGATCGTAGCACTCCTTCTCTTGCCCTCATCCAATTCTTGTTACCGCGCAAAGTATTGATTTCACCGTTGTGTGCAGCCCAGCGGAGGGGTTGAGCGCGGTCCCAGGAGGGGAAAGTGTTTGTAGAAAATCGGGAGTGTACCAACGCAAAGTGGCCTTCGTAGTCAACGGAGACCAGATCATGGTAGTACTCGTAGACCTGAACAGGAGCCAATTGGCCTTTGTAGACGATGTTTCGGTTGCTGAGGGAACAGAGATAGAACCAATTAGCAAGGCCTAGGACATGGGTTGCTCGTTTCCGCAGGACATAGAGCTGGCGTTCAAAGGTACGCTCGTCGAAATTCTGCGGATCCGTGGTCTCAGGCTTATTCCCATTGCCATAGGCGGATTGGAGCACAAGAAACGGCTGCATGATGATGGGCTCGCGAGACAGCGCAGCAGGACCAAGCAAGGTGGAATCGCGGGGGACATCGCGCCAACCCAGCACTCGCAGATGCAATTCTTTCGCCAGCTCTTCAAACGTAGCTATGGATTCTTTTAGTGTTTCAGGGTCGGGCTTGAAGAACAGGTTACCCGTGGCGTACTGGCCCATTGGAGGGAAGTGCTCACAAAGAACTGTGTGGGATGCTGGTCATTACTCCGGCGCCATCACATCTCTGCATCAGACCGACTGCACCACGATGGGTCATGTTGCAGAGGAGGTTCCGGGCTAGGCAAAGAGAGAAAGAGAGAAAAAAAAAAAAAAAAAAAGACACGTTAGGACCATTTCGCCATTTACATCAAAAGGAATGTGGTCGTCGAGGTACTTACCATCGCTAACAATTTTGTGACTCGCCTTCCCCTTGATATGGCTTGTCCAGACAGTCAGTATTGATATTATCCGAACAGAAAAGAAGAGAACATGCAACTCACGCCGTGAAGCCTACACCGCAAGCATCCTTCTCCAGCTCAGGGTTATAGAGACCTTGCCGAAGGGGCAAGGTCTCTGCCCAGCCATATCCCTTCTCCGGCTTGTACTCCGAATACTCGTGCGGCTGTTGCTCTTCGATGTTTTGACCACAGATTTGTTCCAAGAAACCCATTCTTCCGTCGGTGACCGACAGAGAATGCTTAGCAGTGGGTTTAAGAAATATTCCAAGATGATCTGGGGTTTACGTTGTTAAGCAGGTTAACAGAGGGATCTATTCCGGAATATCTTTCTGATTCTATCCTGTCCCTTGGGATAGATTCGAGATTCGCTCCTTTTTACTTTCTAGAAATGCGTCCAAGAAATAAGAGAGGGAAGAGAGAGCACGGTTAGGTTGTCTGATCGATATCGTCACAGGCCAGCGAATAAATCACACTGATTTTGCACAGGTGATGGGTTGGTGATGTCAATTGTGTGACGGCTATCCGGGGCGTTGGGTCGAAGATGGGAAGATGGTGTAAGGAAAGAGAAGAAGAAGGGGAAGGAAGAGAAGAAAGATGAAGGAGGAGAAGAAGGAGACGAAGAGACGAAACTTGAAATCAGCCACCGGGTTAAGGAGGGGTGAAGCCGCGCGGAAATATAAAAAGAAGTAAATATCAATGAGATGTGGAGTGTGGATTCCGATCAACATCCATGGATTGATTCCCAGTGGCAAAAAGTATTACTCTAGCGGAATGGAACGAGCCAGCCAAATGGACAAACGTCCGGCAATTATTATTGTCCACGGTAAACTGGGCAAGAGCATTACGTTCCCCGTCAATCTTCGGGTGTGAGCAATTCTTCGTTGTGTGGATATTTGTTACATCTTTCCAAGGCCCGGTTCTACGGTCCACTACTAACAAAAAAAACTCTTAGATGCGGAGAGGGAACAGATGACAAACTATGCCATCGTGCTAGGCTCGCGAGAATAATTACCAACAAGGAGAGGGAATCGGAATGTCGGAGATTTACCGAACCTGGTAAAAAGGCCATCTCACTACCCCTCCGCGGATTTCTTCACTATTACCTATGATAACTTCCCTCCTTCGGGCGAGACAGCAATCAAGATGATGGAGATGATGTGGGTTGAATTATTATGAGAGAAAGATATTTGTCGAAGCTTTGTCCACTCTAATCAGAGCGATAAGGAACACGACCCGCCAATCAGCAACCTGACATTTTGCGACATGGAGCCGAAAGCTCTGCGAGCCACAAACCTAGTCGATCAGATCTGCCCAAAACCTTGGCTCGCATGGGTGGGAGCAAACTTGGGAATGCATGCCAGCCAGCCAGCCAGCCAGCCAGCCAGCCAGCCAGCCTTGGACAAGCAACCTCTAAATAGGCCCCCCGACAACGGAGCCCCCCGCAGTAAGGTTGCCAGAGAACCAAGGGGGGTTGGAGCAAGCAACTTGCTTGGCAACCATCATATGCTTTTTTAAAATATGAACACTCATACTTGTGGTAGACAGCCAGGGAGAGCGCTCTAACTGGTAAAACCCAGAAGGTTATTGAACAAACAGCCTTGACAAAATTTTCCCTAGCTTAGGGTTAGTTTAAAAAAAAAAAAAAAAAAAAAAACGTTGCAGCACACCAAGCGAGGAAAAAGGCATATATTCAAACCATTCAACATACCGAGAGCGCATGGAGGGAGGTAACTGTGCAGAATCGAGCCAAGGTTTGTCGGCATGCCACACAGTAACAACGCCGGGACAGGGGGTGACGGTCCCCCGGAAGGGAGTGGGAAGTTTCCACCCCCCAGCTGGGCACCTTGACGGAAGAATCACGCATTTACCCGAAGGTGAAAACTCTGGTCTGGCCAGACAGCAGGGAGAGGAAAAAAGAGACAAGAAAAGAAAAATCATCTGTCGAATGATAAGCCGGAACCAAACTGCCACTGGTAATAGGCGGGATGGACATTATCGTTATTACGTACATATTTGTCACCAAGAGCATGTGAATCCAGTCTAGGGGAACAGCAGAGGATTGATGGTGTTTGGGAGTAAGAAATTTGCATCTCTTGAGTTGCAGAAATAATTCGATGAACACAAATCTGATAATAGTTTTAAAAAGTATCTGAATAAAATGAAACTCGAGGTTCCAAGTAACAGAAAACAGTGACACGCAAACTGTTTTCGCCTACGAAATATTTAGCAAAAACCTTCAACGAGCGAACCAGCTCTTTTCAATTAATTCAAGCCCACAAAGGCGGCGGAGAGGTAGGGTTTCCTCGAAGAGCTCAAAATCACTTTGCTGCTGCAACGAGAGAACGGGAGCTATGATCACATTTATGCACGTCCTCAAGCAACACGCCACATTCACATTCCCCTCTCCCTTGGGCAATCCGATTGATCCAGAACAATGATGCCAAAAGGAGGAAAGGCGAAAAGAAAAGAAAACCTATTACCCCAGGCATTGCCCGCCATCGCGTCTGCCATAAAGGTGCACCTTTGCAACAGGCCGTGTCCGGCGTCTCGCATTTTGCATGTCATGCATGTCATGCAGGTCCGGGTCTCCATGCACCCCATGCTTGGGCAAACCTCCCTTGGTAGAATGGGGGGTGGGGGGTGGCCCCTGGGGGGATGGCCCCCCCCCCCCGCGCCCCGCCCCCCGCCTTATTATTTCTCAGGTTAACGAGCTTAACATATATATTTATTTATTTAAAATGCTGCGCTATCACAAGAAGAAATAAATACTGTTGTTTGACGGCTGTCCTTTCTAGAATCTTCCGGTGGAGAAATGCCATTTTATGCCAATTGAGGGATATCCGGGAATGAAATGGCCAACCGTGAGCGGAAGGACTGCTATGTTTCCCGGCCGACACGGGATGCGACTATTCGCAAAAGGCACCAAGCTGATTGATATCCTTGAATGAACCTCGGTTAAGGCGTCGTTCAACAGTTCCGATGAAGGTATGAACCCCCCTATTGTTAAAAGGTTAGCCTTGTGGTATCCATCCGTGCCACGATGACCCAACAACAGCGCATCCTCTATGTCAGATCTGCGAATATAAAACGGAACGAGATGGAACCCGGAATATCTCTGGGGGATAATTAAGAAAAGAATCTCCACCGCCAAGAGTCGGCTCAAGTCTTCGTTGTGGTGGAGGAGCAAATCTATAAAACAGATGCCTGGCTCCCGTTGATCCGATGTCGGCGTGGAATGGCGACTGAATCATGGATGAATGGGATGTGGTTTGGCTTTGTTGACCAATTCGCAGGTTCATCAAAAGTAAAATGAGCATCTTTAATAATACTTGGCATGCACCTATCCTTCCTGCACCGAGAAGGATCCGTCTTCCAAAATATCCATATGTGGAATGGAAACATCACCAGAAGATTTCTTCTTCCTTACGTCGCGCCAGATCTGGCGTGCTTCCCGCTGCAGCGGGATCTCTTCACGGCAATACTGAGCTCTCCAGAACCTTCTTGGCCCGTCTAGTCGCACTTGGGCCTGCATCCCTTTACCACCAATTATGATCCAGGGGTTCAGATCTGTCCTCCAGGCCCCTACTTCCCCTCAATCTTCTCAGTCTTCTCTCTGAAGTAAAATATTACTATTCCGTACGACAACGGACTTACACACAGCATATATCTGCGTCTGTACACCATCGGGCGCAGACCTCCGCCTCTTATTTTACAACCTTGGCTTCCCCCCCTCCTTCCACCTCCTCCCCCCTCCCGGGCAACCAAGATCGGAATCTCAGCACCACTGTCAAGCAGGGGATCCAAAGCCAAGGAAAGCAGCACGAGTGGAGAAAGGGAATTACCAACCGTTCTCCGCCATGCCTTGTGCCAACAGATCTGCACACAGCCGGCAACCAAGAGGTGGGGAAAGCATCAACAGCTGCCGACGGGTGCTCTTCACGTCCTCCGGCAGTGCTAGGATGGTCAGGTTTATTAAAATTAAAATTGTCTGCAACGATGAGATATCTTCTTGGCAATAGGTTCTTTTCGCAGATTCCAGGGGGGGGCTAATAAATAAATGAGATCCGTAGTGATAGGGGTTTGATTGATATATAGCCATCACTGTCAACCTGTCCAAGCTCTGGAATACTTACCCCTCCCTTCTTTCGCCTCCTCTCGCCGTATGCTTTTTGAGGATACGTATCTCAAATAAATAAATAAAAATAATATAATATATATATATATATATATATTTGGCACGATTGTATCCGCGGGCTTATAATTTTATACCCACTCGTCAGGCCAAACAGTAGTTATATTCATTATTCAGTGACAGCCAAAAATAAATAATAATCTAATTATAAAATAGCAAAACCACCTAGGGCCTTGGGGCCACTCTTATCTCGGGCCAATTCAAAGCAATTTTGTCAAAAAAATTTTTACAGTAAACTAGGCTTTTAAATCTACTCAAATTGTCCAATCCACCCAGCAAACCACCCCGTCTCCCTACCAGTTGACAAATAGCAACCGAAACTAGCTGCTACATTTTTCTACGTGTCCAACCTCTGCCGTTCTCATATTTTATTTTAATATTTTTTTTTTGTGCCTAAGATCCATGTTAAGCCTGGTAGTTACGTGTGCCCCGGTTGCATCACTAACTATTATTATTAACTAGTCGCTAGTATCATGCAGATTGGGGTCCCCAACCAACCAACCGGCTGCCTGCACTGTCATCCCGACATTTCCCATTTCTTCCAGCATCCCGCGCCCGCCAGTCACAAAAGGAACCACAAATGGGTTGGTCGGGAGTTCTCGGAGCTCAAGAAATATCATTCCAACCAGTTGCCTGTTTATTAATCCGTTATGTAGCAAACTCCGCGATATATTCTCCACAGAGATATACAAACAACGAAGTGCTTTCGGAGACTACTAGTGCGAGGCCTAGCTGGAAATGATCGGCTGGGTGAGTGTTTGGAACGGGGCAAACTTATGGCCAATAGCTAAAACTGCCCCGGGCATGGGACGTGAATGATAAAAAAGAGAATCGACAAACTATTGGAGGAAAGGGGGAAGCAAATAGCTGGGTTAACTCCACGTACTTTTTTTCACCTTGACTGATTGAGGAGTTGTTATTAGGACAGTTGCATTGATTGCGTAAAACATTGGTACATCCATGTTAGTAACTGCCCCGACACCACTGCGATTATATTCCTACTTGGAATAAGAACTCCCGGAAAGTTGGAATTTGGATGTGACCGATTCCCTCTCCGCCAAACTTCCCGCCGCGTAGGGGGTTTCGCTCATCTCCTTTTCCGGGTTGGGCTTCGTAATGTATCTGGCAGATCTTCCTTCCCATTCAAGAGAAACGCCAAACAACGAGTCGAGCATAGGTGTTAAAACGGTGTTAAAACTTACAAACGCACAGACAGCCCGCCTTCCCTTTCAACTTCCCCTTCCACCCATCTCTCTCTCCGACATCCAAACCCGGATCCCTATCCATCCCCCTACTTCTCCCCCATATCAACTAAACCCGAGCCCGAACCAGAGCCCGCCTCATCCACGGGGTGCACATGGATGTGGACAGACGGTGCTTCCTCCCCCAGCCCCTGAGGAGGCCAGATGTAGCAGATTCCCGTCATAGTGACAAAGCTGATAGCCAGGCCAGCGAAGAAGGTTAAATTAAAGAGTTTGATCCAACCTGCCAGATTAGGGTGTGTGGTATTGTTGACAGAAGCGATGAGTCCCGCTTTTGTGGTTTGACGGCGTTACGGTCGGTGTGTTAGCCGACAAGTATAGATATGGATATTCTGCACAAGATAACAGTTGATGCGCAATATAAAGAGGTAATAAAAGGAGGTAGGTAAAAGATAAAGAGTAAGAAGCAATATATGTAGATTTAAAAGGTGTATGCGTGACGCGATCCATTGAGGAATAGGGGGGAATGTTGTCTGAGCTAAGAAATATTGTGATAAAAACTCACGAAACAATGGCCACATGCCGGCTACAAACGCGACGGGAGCACGCCAGTTGACACCGTGCCAATACCAGTATATGCCATTTGCATCTCCCGTGTAGAGATCGTTTAACTTAAGTTTATGCCGTCGTATCAGATGGTAATCGGCTAGCATGATACCGCTGGTTTATATTGAAATGCTCAGATTAGATTCAGCGATTGTTATGTTGTCAACAGGGGTATGAGAGACATCACGGACGTCATGGGAGCCATAAAGATGCCGAAGCTTGACAGCACAGATAGGAATTTCGTGGAATTCGCGAGGAGTTGCCAGGGCCTGGAATATGAAGTTCATTTATATAAATTGGTCATTCGCTGGAAGGGCGCTGAAAGTGCTTGTCTTTGCACTGATAGCACACAAGGTGGAATTCTTTTCAAATATACATACTGAGAACAAAATCCAAATAAAGCCATTATATAGCTTCCACGGATGATATTGATATACTTCGGGCAAAGGCCCGCCATATCCATCCCTACTGAAACTGAATTCAGGACAACAGATATCTGCAAAAATAACAATCATGACCAAGCAGAACATCCCAAACGTTAGAGAACTACCTTTTAAAAAGGGCAAATATATATATATATATATATATATGTATATATTTAACTCACCGCAAGCTGCGTCGCAACCATCCCCACCGACGCAAAAAACACCCCCACCCTCGCCCGCGGACTCGAATCGTACTCCTCCTGTATAGCTGTAAGCAAATATATAGGATTCCACACAATCTCGCGGAGCAAATCGTTCGCAGCACTCGTCACGATGATGCCCAACAACGCAGTCACCACAATCGTAACTGGTGCAGCTACGAGCTGCGAAAGCGTGGGCGCCATGGACCGATTGGCGTATCTAGTCCAGTCGGATTGGCCCAGGGTTCCAGCACCCCATCCTCCTAGGATAGCACTGATGCCATAGAGCATTCCCCAGCCGACAGATGGGGTGCTGGCGGGTTTGCGGAACATGGATCCTGCACCGCCTGCGTTTCTGACGGCCCTGTGATGCGTCAAGAAAGGAAAGGAGAGGGGTGACAGCTATTTTAAGAGGGCTAAAAGCGGTAGAATTTACCATATTAATAGCCCAATGCAGGACGACGCGAACAAGGCAAACGAAATCGCGAACGGCCTCTGCAAGCGCTCGGGAGGGATGAGAACAAGTGGTATGAAGGCCGCGTACCAGACGATCATGCCGATAAAGTCATTGGTTGCCAGATGGGAATTCTCTGCGAAGAAGTTTTTCATGTGTGCGAATCCTAGATATCAACCAGTGTGCAACTCAATCTCATCAGATATATGATCGAGAAGTCCCGTGGAAAGCCCTAGTAAAACCTGCCTACCCGGGATAACCGCCCCGATGAGGACTCGAGTTACTTGCCCACCCCTGAGATAAACAAGCATAGAGGGGGTAATGGTCAGTTCAACGACTCCATCCACTACATAACAGAAGACAATATTCAGGGGGATGAAAAGAACTACATGCCAGTAGGACTGTATGCCAAACCACATCGATCCGACAAAAGCTCGCATAACAACCGGGACTGTAACCCAACAAGAAAGAAAAACGGAAATTAGTCCTGGCCTAAATATATTCCAAGAATGTAAACCAGAAAGCAACAGGGAGTTTCTCACAATATGATCCCCTCATGCCCCATGAAAACCGTGACGCAACCGTGAATCCGATATGATGACGTTCTCCCATCCAGCCACAGGCCACCGCGAGGATTCCCGTAATCATGCCGCCGGAAACCTGATAGAGACGTTAATATCGTGGATAATCGAGTATGAGAATCTCCCATACCATGGTGGAAATAATTCATAGAAATAAGAGGAGAGAGGAAAAAAAAAAAAAAAAAAAAAACTCTATGCAGCCAAAAGGGCAGCATTATAAACACTAAACCAACCCACCACACATCCAATGGCCTGCTGTGGACTAAGGCCAAAAGCAAGCAACGTACTTCCAATCGTCCACGCGGAAATGCATGAGCCTGATACCGTCCAGTATCCTGATAGTCCATTGCAGCGATTAGGATATCTCTTGTCCATGGGGAGAGCTGCAGTACGCATCACCGTCACCGTAAAATACAAACACATGAGAAAAGCGAATACCGAAATACCCCCAGATTCCCCATGTTCTCCTCTCTGGAGGAATCGGAATCAGATCACGGTTGCACCAGGTGGTATTTTCATAATAGGCGTTTTCGTCAATTGGACTTTGTTTCTCTCCGTTTACTGCTCAGCGAGAGGTTCCTTTCATGAATTGGGGGGGGAAGGAAGATGGGAGATGGATAGTGTCCTTACACAACCACCCGTCTTTTCAATTCTTCCCAATCGAACCGCATATTGGCTTGGTTGTGGCTCGATATGTTTTGGCAAAAGATAGACAGCTCGCCAGTGCTTGATTATCAAAACAAACCCCAGGGGAATCGAAATCTGCTATTCCGCGCAACACAGGAGACGAGGCTTGCATCAAGCACCAAAACAAAATGAAAAAAAAAGAGAGAAAAGAAACGGAGCAAAAGGACGGAAGAATATGTTAAAATCGGAACCAGAGAGAGCATCAACCAGCCAAACACTCTACACAGCGAGGAGAAGTTCAGCTGGTTAATATGTCCTTTTATCTCTCTTTTTTAACGTTTGCCATTGGCAGAGAGAATGAGCACGTCGTAGCATTGATCCATCGATGACAATCTTTTGCCAATTTTGGCCCTCCCCCCGGGGAGTTTGTGAGGCGCGTCGTACACGGCTGAGCCATGCTAGAGCTCGTATATTATATTATATTATATATATATATATATATATATATATATATATTTTCATAGTTGCATAAGTGTTTTTATATAAACATGGCTCTTTGTCTTTGGAAGCTCTACTGTAGAGATCCTGAAGCTCTGGTGAGTTAAATATCTGGGCACATTCATAACAGATTGGTTCCAGTGACAGTTTGTGATGATGAATCTTAGGGTATGGTGAAAAGGGTGGTAACTAGGGAAAATTACAACGGCAGAAAACGCAAAACTTGGAAGATCCAATCAAACACCTATCTTTAGGTAACTAACTTGATGGTTTATGCGTATTCTTTGGATTGTTAAGGGTGAAGGTGGATCTCCACAAAGCTAGCAGGCAGTATAGCCAGTTAACTATACTTATAACTAGACCGACCTACGTGCAATCCAACTCCCCGAAACTTGAACATGTTGGAGCCTAGGCTTCCTATTATGGACTAGCGCACTGCACAGTATTATATAGCATCCCTGAGATAGGCTAACCAATACAACCACTTTCAGACATCCAACAGGTTATGATTCAGATAGCTTGTTCTTTTTTTTTTGAAGAGCCTTCTGCATACTACTTTTTCTTCTTCTTTTATCTGAGATATAAAATGTCTCATGTGGACTGCATCACTGAATTGCAGCAAGTATTTGATGAAAAATAATTATTTTGAAAGCTTTGATTATAAGTAAAAAATTGAATCAAAAGAAAATAATAGATATCTTTAAGAACACAAACTGCAGAATCATTGCATACCTCTGCAAGCAACAATATAAATAGAGATGAATATAATACATCTACCTCTAGACCTAGAGAAGAAATTGGCTAAAGAGATAAAATGAATACAAATAAAAACAATATGAATATAATGTAAATGATGATAAAATATATGAAAAGATAGAACAGACAGATAGAAATACTTTTATAAAAACTAGAAAGAAACTCAAATTCTTTATTAAATACTACTAAGATTTCTATCAAAATAAAGTTAATAAATTTTGCAAAGATGTAAAAATCAAGTTGAAAGAAAAGCATATAGTTATTCTTACTGAAGTTAATTATCTGAAATGAAAGAGCTCTATTCTTGCAAATGCTTATTTAATTCAAGCAAAAGATACTCTTAACAAATAACAAATAGCATCTTCTATCACAGTTTTTTTAAAAATTGAGCTTTGAAATAAGAAATATAAACTTTTTTATATAAGAATTTTTCAATCTTTAAATATAACTGTATATGACTTTCTGAAATCATTGAATAAAAATCTTTATCTTGCAGCAACTATATAAAAAAATCTTATTTAATATTACACTATATATTATATAAAAGAATATCTTTAAATCACTAAGAAGTTAAAAAATTTACAGCTTAAAAATAATAATTTTCACATCTATCTTACAACTTTTTAAAATATAAAAATAAAACTTATCTTTTTAGATAAAAATTGAGTTGAGAATATCTATCATAATTTATTTATACTAAAACTGAGAGACTAATAATAAAAATTTATTAGATTAAAACTAAATAATTTTTATATCATCAAATAAAGTTCTATTCAGAATTTAAATTTTAATAAATTGATAAATCAATTAACTACTTATATCACTATCACTATAACTCATTTTAACTCATCTGCTATGAATGTCATCATTGAATAATTTGATAAATATCAATATCACTACTGTGAGAATACAGAGTATATTATCAAATACTACTAATTTAAAAACTTAAATCTTACAAGTATTAAATAATAGAAATATAATAAAAAATGTATTAAGATATTAAAAAATAAAAATAAAAATAAGACTAAAATAAAGATAAAAGTAAAAATAAAAATATAAAAAATTTACTTATAAATTAGTTAACTTAAGTATTTTTTATAATAATTTCTTCAAATATTGAAGAAATTTTAAAAAGTCAGTCAGATTATAGGTAAAATAAGAAAAGAATTTAATAGATACAGTAAGTGAAAAATAATATAGATTGACAGAGAAGATGAATATGATTAATTTGAGTAGAATAGTAGCTAGTTTATACAGTAGCTAGTTCAAGAGAAAATGTTAAAGTCTAGACTTTTTATTATGAATTAATACATCATACAGTAGTATATAGCATTTCTAAAATAGACTATCAATATAATTACTTTAAATATTTAATAATAATCTAGCAGATCAGTTATGATTCAGTTATATAATCATATGAATTATTTATAATCAGTCATATGATCATATGAGTTATTTATAATCTAAACAGACTATGATATTTCTTTTTTCTCATCAATTTTAATATTTTATTATATAGTAGTTAGCAATACAAAGAGATTTTTTCTTAGACAACTCATATTCATTCTTTAATATCTAAATATATTAAAAATAATTATCTTATAAAGTCACTGAGATCAGTATTTATAAAAGAAAGAGATAAATATGATATTAAAACTCTTTATACTAGCTTTTTACTCTCATACTGCTTATTATACTGCTTATCAAAGCACTTTAAAATCAGCATTTTCTAGAGAATCAATATTATCTTAAGATTCAGCATTCAGAATTAGTATAAATTAATACTTCTCAAAATTAGTTCTTTAAAATCAGTATTTTTTAAAAAATAAAATCAGCACTTTATAAGAAATTAAATTATTATATTATTAATTTTTCATTTAATAAAAGATTATAGATAAAATTTATTATTACTTATTTATATATATAAATACTTTTAATTTTCAAAATTATTTTAAAAGATTCAGTAATTAGCTACTATTCAATTCTATATATATATTTTTATTCATTACTATTCTCTTCTTTTTATAGCATTTACTGCATTTATATATCAATTCTTTTACAATTCTAGTTATAGAGCTTCTCATACTTTCTTTTGACACTCAGTTCATTCATGTTAACTGTTCTTATAGAAATACTTATATAAAAACTAGAAAGAAATTTAAATTTTTTGTTAAATACTATTAAAAATTCTTTTAAGAATAAAGTTAATAAATTTTACAATAATGTAAAAATTAAATTGAAAGAAAAATATGCAGTTATTCTCATTAAAGTCAACTATCTGAAATGAAAGAGTTCTATTCTTGCAAATGCTTATTTGATTCAAGTAAAAGACGTTCTCAACAAACAATAAACAATATTTTCTATCACAGTTTCTTTAAAAATTAAACTTTAAAATAAGAAAAATAATTTTTTTTATATAAAAGTCTTTCAATTTTTGAATACAACTACACACAACTCTTTGAGATCACTGAATGAAGATTTCTATCTCATAGCAACTATATAAAAGAATTTTGCTTAACACTATACTATATTTTATGCAGAAGAACATCTTCAAATTATTAAGAAATTAAAAGATTTATAATATAAAAAAAAATAATTTTTATATCTATCTTGTAACTTTTCAAGATCTAAAGATAAAATTTATATCTATAGATGAAAATTAAGCTGAGAGTATCTATCATAATTTATTCATACTAGAATTGAGAGACTGATAATAGAAATTTATTAAAATAAAATTAAATGATTTCTATATCATCAAATAGAACTTTATTAAAAATCTGAATCTTGATGAATTGATGAATCAGTTGACTACTTATGTTATTATCACTATGACTCATTTCAATTTATCTGCTGTAAATGCTGTTATTAAATAATTTAATGAATATTAATATCACTACTATGAGAATACAGAGTATATTATTAAACACTACTGATTTAAAAATATGAATCTCACAAGTACTGAATGACAGAAACATAATAAGAAGCACATTGAGATATTGAAAAATAGAAATAAAAATAAGACTAAAAATAGAGATAAGAGTAAAGATAGAAATACAAAAAATCTACTTGCAAGTTAATTAACTTAAATATTCTTTATAATAATTTCTTCAAATATTGAAGAACTTTTGAAAAGTCAGCCAAATTATGAGTGAAATAAGAAAAGAATTTGATGAATACAGCAAGTGGAACACAAGATATATTAACAGAGAAGATGAATATGATTGATATAAGCAGGACAGTAGCTAGTCTGTATGGTAACTAGTCTGAGGGGAGATGTTGGAGCCTAGGCTTCCTATTATGGACTAGCACACCACACAGTAGTATATAGCATCCCTGAGATAGGCTACCAATACAACCACTTCAGACGTCCCACATAAATCAATAACTAGCAAGTGCTAAATATGATGTATACAAAGAAACATGAATGATTCCATGTAGTTACCATTTATTTGCCTTTCTTTCCGCC